TGTAGAGGACTATGTAGTCCAGTATGGTCTGTATTCTTTTGCAGTAGTAGTAATACATTAATAATAGTAATACTAAATCGATCCTGGATTACGTGCGTATGTACAAGCACGAATATCGGAAGTTSTAGGAATTTTCGTCCAAATACTTTTTTTATTCCACTGTGTTCGTGTAAGAAATCTAAGTAATTTTTGTTCGATAGAAGAATCCTATTTTTTTCGTCAGGGACGTTCGGTATCGACGATTTTACCACCTACCTTTACTACTAGACCCGTTACTGGAATGGAATTAGTAGACGCCACGTGAGACACTACTTAGACCCATTTGAACAGTCCCACAAACTAAGTATGAAATTCGATACTCAAGGGGGGGGGCTGGGAAATTTGAAAAAAAATTTCTGGTAGCGTGGCTTATATTATGGTAGCATTTTTAGTCGCAATCTGGTAGCAATTATAGCTACCATCTGGTAGCAATTATAGCTACCATGGTAGCGATTCTGGTAGCTGGTAACGGTTATGGTAGTAAAGTATGAAAACACTGTAACGTTTCTGGTAACTGATGTTTTTAGTATAAGTAATACATACTCACGTCCACGTTACAGGATGAAAATTTTAAGTCCTTGCTTTGCTGGTGGGACTGTTTAAACTGCTTGCTGGCTGGACTGCTTTTCGCTGCTTGTTATAAAGCAAGCAAACAAGCAACAGCAACAACAACAGCAACATGGTGCAACTAGTACAACAAAATAGGAGTGATCATCCCGCGATTGTCCTCATAATAAAACGATGGCGAGAGCTGGAGCGACATCATCTAAGAGAGGCAGAAGACAGCAAGAGCAAAGCAGAAACCCTGAGCCAGTCTACTTGAAACTAGAGCTATCGAAGAAAATCGCTTGCTTTAACTTTTGGATCCATCTTAGGACTGAAGGGAGAGAAGGTTGGAACGCTAGAAGCAAGCCATCATCTATCTACAATTACAGAAGCAGCCGATACATTCAAAGTCACATCAAGCAATCGAGCTGGCCCAAGATTGGGAAGGTATGTAACAAGAAGAACAAGAATGAAGGTTCAAGTCGTTGTCGTTGCTGAAATTACTTGTTCCTCCTCCAACGTTGCTGAAAATCTTACTTGTTCCTCCTCTTGTATCGATCTCCACCACAGAGTATGGCAACACTTGCTATTGATCTACACGAACGCGGAATCACACTCATTAACCCATACAAAGAAATCCAAGAAAAGCTTGCAGCAATTGCAAAGAAGGAGGAGGAACAACAACAAGAACAAGAACCCACCAAAGAGGAAGAGGAATCATTTGAGGAAGAGGAGGAAGAAGAAGTCGAAGACACCATGCCACGAAAGAACAGGAAAGCCATCGATAGTGATGATGAGGGTGATCATCTTTCGGAACTCGTTGAAAGATCCCTCCAGATCAAGGAACCAGCAGTTCAGTGGGTTAGTGGATCCCTATCCTATCCAATCCTTTCCGGTCGATGGGAAACATTTGATCATGATACTGATAGTACAACATCCCTCTGCTTGATGAGGATGCTCATCCACACTGGTGCACAGGAGTCAGACTTCAGGCTCTCCTATGTCAATAAGAGGACCTTTCGAGTGGCATACAAGTGGCCCAGCTTCATGCAGAGGTGTATGATGCAGACCGACTTGGATATGGGAACAGCCAAGGATGGAACCTTGGTCCAAAACTTCCCAGCTGGACACGCTTTGTATACAAGCATGGGCAAGACAGCGAAGAAGCTCAAGGATGATGATGGCTTCATCTGGGCTGAAGGCTTCTTCAAATTCAAGAATGATATGGATACTTCTATCTTTGTTGCTGAATTCCTAACAATTAACATCAGTGTAAATGGCAACAATAATGATGGAAACATCCTCCAAATTCAGTTCAAGGAATGGGATGAGGACGGATCAAACCCAGCAAGCTTCCAGTCTCCAATTCGAGCCAAGAGAGGTGGAAATGTCAACCTGTGTAAGTCGTCTGCTGCTGCTGCTGCTGCTACTGGTCCTCCTCCGGAACCTCCCACTTCAGCTGGTGGTGGTGCTGGCTTAGCAGAGGAGGAGAAAGAAGAGCACAAAAAAAAGAAACACAGAACTAACAAGGATACTTTGTCTCCCCCTTTGCCTCCTCCTCCTATCCGCCTCCTGCCCTTGCCACCAACGACTCCTCCTTCTTCAACAAGGAACGACGCTGCTGATGCATCGAAGAAGAAGAGGTTGAGGGAAGAGGAAGAATGACAACTACTGCTGAAGATGGAAGAGAATGAAGAGAGCTTTCATTCATTTGATTCATCCATTGCTTCCTCTGAAATAGACCCAATCAGGTCTTTCCATCTTGCCAAATCGTATCTAGAGGACCTTGAGAAGGTTCTTAGTAATAGCACCAGAAGATAAAGCACAGCAACGCTTACACGCTTAATGTAGTAGCGTCTATTTCTGGCGCACCAGCACTAAAGTAAAGAACAAGCTTAACAATGAACAGTTGCTCTCTAGCAAGACTGGACGCAGCAGCAGTAGTCGCTGTAATGTACTAGAGCAATCCTTCAAAGACCAGCTTCATAGCTGGCATGCTTGCTCTGGGGACTAGAATTTTCAATCCCACCATGGAGTGCGTTTCAAGCAGCGTTGCAGCTCTCCTGCACTGCTGGTACTACTACTACTACTTTTCAAGCAGCAGTAGTAGCTCTCCTGCACTGCTGGTACTACTACTAGTAGTTACCAAGCAAACTGGAGAGCAAAATGGCAAACTGGAGAGCAAATTCAACTTTCCTAGTACAAGCTGTACAGCAATTTCCTGTAGAAATTCCTTTTGCAAGGGGGGAGCCTTGCCAGTTTGCTCATTTTAGTAAATCGCAGCACCAGGAGGAGCAAACTGGAGAGCAAAATGGCAAACTGGAGAGCAAATTCAACTTTCCTAGTACAAGCTGTACAGCATTTTCCTGTAGAAATTCCTTTTGCAATGGGGKAGCCTTGCCAGTTTGCTCATTTTAGTAAATCGCAGCACCAGGAGGAGGAGCAAACTGGAGAGCAAAATGGATCAAATTCAACTTTCCTAGTACAAGCTGTACAGCATTTTCCTGTAGAAATTCCTTTTGCAAGGGGGGAGCCTTGCCAGTTTGCTCAATTTTAGTCAATCTTCACCTCTAGCGCTACTAGTAGTACTAGTAGTACGAGGAGTCATAGGCTACTACTACTACTGCTAGCATGCTGCCACCTGGAAGCCTACTAGAACAGCTTTGATTACAGAAGGAATAGGCCACCAGTACTAGGAATTAGTAAAAGCTACTAGTGTAAATAAACTGTAGTAGTTCCTCCGGGAGGGACTGGAATCCAAGCCTCTCCACGCCAGGATGATTTTGATAGGCCCAGAAGGAGTTGACTCGCCAGCAAGCCACGCTCCAGGGGGTTGCTCCAGTCTATTGCAACTACCCCGTGAATAGAGCTCACTTGCTGGAGACCAACGCTGCGCTGTTGTTGCTGCTGGTGACTTAGAAATAATTAACATCATACTCCAGCCCATCCGAAAATACCCTTGCCCCAGACTGAAACTTGAGCTGTGTTATAACAGCAACAGCGTGGAAACACAGCTTGTGATGTTGCATCATGGTTGCCTTGTTTGATTTCATGTGTCTAAAATGAGCAGTAAGCACATTGAATTGTTTCAATCTGCCATTGATAGCTTCCTGCTGGGCCCTTGCATTTGATTTCATCTTCCTTATTTCACTGGTCAGTCCCATCCCAGGAAGCTTGAGTCTTCCATCTTTCGCATAGCCACTATCAGCCTCAACAGCTTCTTCAGCATGTATGTGTTTTCCTAATCCTTCAATGAATATTGTCGAATCGCTAGTACTTCCAACAAAAGGACCATTGATCCAAACAATCCATCCAGTATTCAAGCAAACAGCTACTTCATACTTGAGCGCTGGTCCATTGAACTTGTGGGAATACATCTTTTTCGACCACGGATGAGGCTCAAATACAGGGCAGTCTGTTCCATCCACGCTTATGAAGCAATCAGTTTGAATTTTCCCACTGTAACCATTAAATCTGTTGTCGAGACTAATCAAATCATCCTTTAGTTCTGCAATCCTTCCCACGAAGTACCAAGACCACTTTCGAAAGGTCTTTGGAGAAGGCCATCCAACAATAGAGCAGTGAATCTCAACAGTAGAATAGACCTTGAGGAAAACAAGCGCCCAGAGCAAATGCTTGGCCTTTCCCCCAGCAACAACTGGTCCGTGAGCAACAATTTTTTTCCACAAGTCTGCTACTTGTTCAGCTGAAGCTCCAAAGCATGATTTGAATCTCATGTCTTTCTCATTGCTCCATATCTTACGCTCTGGCCAACAAAGAACTTCCTTTGCGAGTATGTCAAAGTCTTCTTTTGTTAGCGCCATGCCGACACCAGTGGGCCAAAGTCCAAGGAGCAGTCGTACTACTAATCACGAGAAAAATAAGGTTCTAGTCCATGGATTTCTACCAGGAAACAACCAATGAGTCGACAACTAGTGTAATGAGACTCGTGGTGTTGATTATACAATGTTTTGAAGGATTCGAAGTGCTTAAAATGAGGGAAAATACCATGGTCAACAAGCAAACGCCGCTAGTATTTTATGATTTGCTTGGGGGCCTTGTTCTTTACTACTACTACGTACAGGTGCTACGTAGTGCGTAGTAGCAAGCACTCTTATCAGTACCGTTTTTGGGAGTGGTCCCATGAAAACAATTTCAATTAAAAATTGTACCGTATGGTAGGAAAGATATCCTACCAGAAGTGGACAAAAAATGCTACCATATTGCGACTAAAAATGCTACCAGATTGCGACTAAAAATGCTACCATATGGTAGCGTTTTTTGCTGCAATCTGGTAGCATTTTTTGTCCACTTCTGGTAGGATATCTTTCCTACCATAAAAAAAATCTTAATATTTGATTTCTCTCAACCCCCTTCCCCAACTTCCAGTCCGTTGGACTTGATATTGCTCACGACTGAATTCTAAGTAGTGTCTCACGTGGCGTCTACTAATTCCATTCCAGTAACGGGTCTAGTAGTGAAGATACGTGGTAAAAACGTCGATACCGAACGTCCCAGACAACTGGATGGAGATCCAGGTTTCGTCACAGGGCAGGACTCTTGCGAGCGAAAAACAATGCAATTTCGAAGCTATTCCTGTACCGGTGCCCTTACTGGTACCGTATGGTAGTACGAGTAGAAGGATTTGTACGTTGTACCGTACTTGTTACCGATGGGACCCGTACACAGTAGAGTCGCTCTCGCTCAGGGGTCATGACTCCTGGTACGGTACCGTAGAGCTCTACTGTACTAAGCAATATCCTTACACCCACTAGCACTGTGCGCTGCAGRATGAGTTAAAGAATGGTAGTACTTTTACGAGTAAAGTACGTACTAAAAGTAACACCCCATCCTCTGATTTTGGTGGCACGTGCGTTCCCTAAAAGAAAATTCGAGGCGGGCGCGCCGAGGATTTTCTTTTAGGGAACGCACGTGCCACCAAAATTGTACGACTCCGAGGCAAGTGAGAGCTGCTGAATTTTGCTTTAGGAAGGGTCCTTTTCCGAGGCCCCCGGCCGAGGAAAAGGACCCTTCCTAAAGCAAAATTCAGCAGCTCTCACTTGCCGAGGAGGAGGACAAGAGGAGAGGGGTGTTAGTTGTGTAATCCAATGCTTGTAAGGTTGAGCAGAGTGGAGGAGACCCTTGTTTTCCCATTGTCGACTGCTGTTTGTTGCGGCTTTTCCGGGGGGACAAGAAAAAACCTGTAGGGACGACAAAAAACCTGTATCACTACGTGATTTACGTAGGCCTGGTACAAAATGGTACGCGTAGAATCTGTACTACATTCTACTATGCCGTGCTGCATTTTTTGGATTTCACTCGCAAAACAGCTGCAGCTGCAGTATTCATTATTTAAATCTAGCTCACTTTCAAAGAGGCTTCTTCTTTGCACTTTGACCATGGGAATGGGCCTCCTTTGAAGATTTGTAAGTGTCGTTTGTCAGCATTGTGTGTGTCAGTGTCCTCCGTATCAGCGTCCTCCTCCGTACTATCAGCAACTCGTATCAGCGCGTCCGTATCAGCGTTTGCCGTATCAGCGGACACTGTATCAGCGTCCACTGTATCAGTGTTGTTTGTTGTTTCAGCAACCAAACTATGAGCACTTCCTACTCTGATATGGGAATGGGCTCTTATCCCTCCCTGGATCATCCTCCATATTCGTATCAGCATCTTCCGTATCACCAGCGTCCTCCGTACTATCAGCAGTGATCAAGGAGCCTCCGTATTAGCATCCTCCGTATCAGTGAGCGAGGAGCCTCTATATCAGCATCCTCCGTACTATCAGCGTCCACCGTATCAGTGTTCTTGTTTGTTGTTTCAGCAACCGAACTACGAGCAATGCCTCCTCCGATATAGGGGAATGGGCTCTTATCCCTCCCTGGATCCTCCTCCAATATAGGGGAATGGGCTCTTATCCCTCCCTGGATCCTCCTCAGTGTCCGTATCAGCAGTTCGTATCAGCAGTTCGTATCAGCGTCCTCCGTATCAGCATCAGCGTCCATACTATCAGCGGACACCGTATCAGCGGACACTACTATATCAGCGTCCGTATCAGCAACTCGTCATATCAGCAACTCGTATCAGTGAGCCTCCTCTGTATCAGCGATCGAGCCTCCGGATCAGCATCCTCCGTATCACTGGCTCGTAGTATCAGCAGCGCGTATCACTGGCTTCTTGGCTCGTATCAGCATCCTCCGTATCACTGGCTCGTATCAGCAACACTCCGTATCACTGGCTCGTATCAGCAGCTCCTCGTAGTATCACTGGCTCGTATCAGCAACTCGTATCAGCATCCTCCGTAGTATCAGCAACTCTTACTACCCGTAGCTACTAGCAGCAGGAGCACCGTAGATAGTAGAGCATCATACTAGAAGTACATAGTAAGAGATGGTACTGAAGTACCATGAGGTGGTACCGAAGTAATCTAAGTGAGTACCAAAGTACCACTTTCATTTTTGTCCGTTGTGCCTATTTCAAACCCTCATTTTTTCATTTACTTAGGGTCTCCGACACGTGCTCGACCGTGCAAAAATTGGATTACCATCGTACTTACTAAGAACAGTACCTGTACTATTGGAGGATATGAGCGTAGAAGTACCGCACTACGAGTAAGTACGAGTACGTACCGGTACTCATAATTGTTTCTCTAGATGAAGKGGATGATTTTTTATTACAAATCATGATCAGTCAACAAYCCACAATACAAAGAATGMCTTGCACATATGGCAAACTTACGTTGCATCGTGGTATTCCATAATGGCATTGTGCATAGGACTGCCGGTAAAATCTAACCGACGCTCTTTGTGCCGCCTTCTGGGAAGAGAAACATCTTCCTATCGATTCGGCTTCCGGTCCTCCCGAGCAATGACGACGAAGKGGACTTTGGATGCGCCGAAAATGCCACATTCCTCTTCTTCGTATGTGTTCGAACCTCCTCCTATCTCGAGTCTTCCCGTTGTGGGAACCTCGAAGCAGTTTCCCGTACGAAGAGTGTATTGCGTCGGAAAGAACTACGTGGAACACGTGATCGAAATGGGAGGCGATGTCAAACGGAACAAACCGGTATTCTTTACTAAACCGAATATTGACGGTGTCGTATATGCCGGTTGTCTCGGGAATAGTAGTGACAAGCCAACTTCTATTGATTATCCCCCTGATACCAAAAATCTTCATTACGAGGTGGAACTGGTGGTTGCTATTGGAAAAGAACCAAACGATTGCGTTCCGAATGATGTGCTGTCACCAAACATTCTGGATTGTGTATTCGGATACGCTGTGGGAATCGACCTGACCCGTCGGGATTTACAAGACGAGGCAAAATCAAAACAATGGCCCTGGGACACCGCAAAATATTTTGATCAATCGGCGCCGATAGGGCCCATCACACCCAGAAAAGAAGGGAACGAGGATTATTTTGACGACAACACAGGCAAACTCGAAAAGCGAACCATGGCGTTGACTGTGAATGGGGCAACCCGACAATCCGTAGACCTAGAAAAGATGATTTGGAAGGTGCCGGAAATTCTTTCCGAATTATCGAAATCTTTTCGATTGAAACCAGGCGATTTGGTTATGACGGGAACACCATCTGGAGTTGGGCCGGTGGTTGTTGGAGACCGACTGATAGGAACCATTGACGGATTGGTAGAACCCGTGGATATCACCTTGGTATAGAYTGCAAAATAWAMTGTTGCGCACACGGCATGTGTTGCTGGAGGGCAATGAATGGTTCGTAATCGATGAGTCTACGTCGCCACGCATAGTATTAGAGACTTCTTCCGTTCTGTCCCATGCTTGCATGCAACGAAGCGCAGACTATCGAAACACTTTCCTGCGCCCGTTGTTTGTAACATCAAAAGTAACAGAGTGGGATTGGCATTGATTGTYGTATCGAGACAATTTCGGTGGGAGAGAAAGATTACTGGAAGGCAGAAACGAAAGCTTTTGCCAGTCCACGCTCATCGTACGCATTTATCTCTGTTACAGGACGTATGTGTGGTACGTACAGTACTTATCCCCAACAGGATGGACAATTTTCAAAAATTCCCCCTGTTTTTACTTTACTCTTCACGTACACACCGTACAGAACAGTACAATTATGGAATGATGCTTCAACCAATTTTTTATTTCTGCACTCAGAAATATTCGATGAAACAATAAATACCTTAATATCAGCAATATCGGTACACTAGTACGGTACGATATTCATGATGTCAAGTTGTGAAAATCAAGGCTGAAATCGATCGTGCGTAACCATGTACTAGTAGTAAAAAATAATGGAATTAGTGTACAGTAATGTCGTTCAGTACGAATCCCTACCGTACATAAGACTGTTCTTTGTTCTCGCTGGGGGTCATTTTCATTGACATCCGTTGTTCCTGGAGGCGTTTAGAACAAARAGCTCTTCACTCACGATTCGCAAACCCTTAGTATTCTATTGCCTTCGATTTATTTTGTGATCGGAAGAGTGAAATGGTGCTTCTTATATGGTCATAGTTGAAGTATTTCAACAGAAACGGTAATAGGGACCAGTAGTAATACTATCACAAACCAATTATTATGAAGCTTTATCGTGATAATTCAGAACTGCTGGTGTTGCTTTTCAACGATTGCATAATTGCATAATACCATGAATCGTAAAATTGCACGTAAAAACTGATCGTGAAAAAGTTTTTGCCGCTTTCGATCGATACTGGGTCAGACCGTACCGCTACGAGTCGCTACCGTACTTGTATTCAAAACAGCCACTTCGACTTCAGTAGCTGAGGACACATAAATACCAAATACGGTAAATCAAAACGAGCATAAATTGAAGTAGTACTACTCAGAAACAAAACGTGACTTTGTCAAAGATGATGCAAAGGTATTTTCTGATTATTGCAAGCACAATACTATCGGCACTGATCTGTGTCGATATTGCCGTTGTCGATGCGAGGGAGCTGTTCGAATCCTTCAACGGCAGGATCGGCCCCGATTCGTCGTCGTGGTTTGAACCCTCGCTATGGAAYGGAAAGGGAAAGGTTCCGACGCAGAATGATGCTGTCGTTTTCGATGAATCCGATACGTATGCAGCCATTGATAAGAAAGACATYGTTGCCAGTGTATCGGAGCTCATCATCGGCAGATCTGCATCTTCCGATTCCATTGGGTCTGTTCAACTCGACTTGTTGTCGCAGACAAAATTGGCAGTTCAGCAAGACATGACTATTGGTGAACTCGAGGGTAGCGATGGGTCCGTATACGTCGATGACAATGCTTCGATTGCTGTCGAAGGAAGTTTGACCGTCGGATCCGGCGGGAATGGTCTCTTGGTGTTGGCCAAAAAAGCTTCAATCCGAACAGGGAACCTTAGTGTCCGTGGTGACAACAGTGGAGGTGGAAGCAAAATTGTAATGGGCGTTGCATCAACGCTAACGGTTGCAGGTGATAAGCGTACTATGGTGAATGAAATGATTGAGAATGGACTGATTGTMAAAGAAACAATGGATTCTACAGCAACACTGAAGGTCGGCACAACGGACGGCAACACGGTCGTCACGGTGGCCACAGAACCCCCCGAACCCCCCATATCGTGCGAAAACCGAGGTCTCAAATACAGAAATCAAGGAAGGAAAAATTGCAAGTGGGTTGCCAAGAAAAAGAACAAACGCTGTAAGCTATCGTGGAAGAAGGAGAAACTTAGCGCTTGGTGTCCAGGTTCTTGCAACAAGTCATGCATTGATGACGGTGACGGGAATAATCCATGTGCCGATGGAACTTTGAAATATAAAAACATTAAGAAGAAAAATTGTAGATGGGTCAAAAGACTCACAAGATCTCGGTGCAAGTTACAGGTATCGGACGGGGTCAAAGTTTCAGAAATCTGCAAAAAAACTTGCGGCAAATGCTAACTTTTACTCTGCGAAGGCAAAGTTCACYACTCATGGAAAAAAATCAATCAATGAATTTAATAAGATCAGTATTTATGTTCGGCATYAACAGCTTTATACAGCACTAGCTATGTTCATTAGCACTTCTCCTCGTCCGTTTCCCTTTTCAAAAGGAGTTGCCCACTTTGTTACTGCTACASCAGCAGTTCGTCCTCGCTGCCATCATTAGAGGCAGAAGACGTTATTGTGTCCCTGAACTATTTACTCAAGAGCAAAGTAAAATCAAGAGGAGATTATAACCAGCCAATTTGGTTTTTGTGCTCCTCGCAAATAGAATCAATGCTTCTAGTGCGGTACGGTACCAGTAATTGAGAGTACGATACTCGTTATGATGGTCTTCGTTTTGTTTCAGAAGAAGGAGTCACCGGTACCGGTACGTACATGCATGTGGTACGTACGTACCGTACGAGCCCAAATGAGGTGCATTGTTCCCTGTTCCCTCGGTAGAGYCGTGTAAAATTTGTACCGACTTCGGACCTGTCACAACCTCATCAGGGTTCGTTCCTCGTACGTACCCTGCGAGTTTCTTCAGTCCCCACAGTAGTACGAGCATTGTACCTACCGGCCGGTATGATACGATCAGTAACGTACGCCTAGTGCAAGTTACGGCTCACTGCTCACTCACTAGCTACTCGTGATT